AAATCCACCAATCATAGACAAGAAAATAGAGCGTAAGTACTTTCGTTCACTTAGCGAGTTTTGAAAGCATGGCCCCTGATCACGTGATGTGTCACGTGATGTTGTCCAGACGCTCACTCAGGTCTAGTACTTTCCTATCAATCTCTATAACGTCTAGTGAATATTACGTCTCAATACATATGATCTAAGCATATAATATAGTTTTAACGAATATAAATAATATAATTGTAATGAATATAATGAGACGCCAGATTGACACCAGACATGGGGGGTGTGATGGAGGGCCGCTATTGACGAGAAGGTGATGATGTAGGGGCCTCTTGTGATGGTAGAGACACTACTGGTGGAGGGTGATGTGGGAGCCTATAGTGATGGGGGTAGACGATGTGGGAGCCTATATTGGTGGGGGGTGCAGCTACTGATGGGGGATTAGGGTGTTTGCTGAGCTGCTACTGATTGTAACACCACCCCCCCTCGCCACTAACGCCCCCGTGCCCCCAGCACTAACGCCCCCTACCGCCCCCCAGCGATGGACTGCATCCCCCGCATCTCGCGGGCGCAAGTGTTCGACGCGCTGAGCTCCATGGCCAACATCGCGGGCTACAGGGCCGTCGTGGAGGCCAGCAACCACTTCAGCAGGTTCTTTACAGGTGCGTCGAGGTGCACTTCAGCAGGTTCTTTCTTTACAGGTTATCAACTGTATGTTTTTTACATGCCATTCATTAGTTTATTAAGTAATCAGCAATTATATATCAGGATGTATGAACAGAAATTGCATTCATAAATTAATTAAATTATGCATGGGTAATTTGACCGCCCCCTCCCCCCTCAGGGCAGATCACGGCGGCGGGCAAGGTGCCCCCCGCCAAGGTGCTGGTCATAGGCGGCGGGGTGGCGGGGCTGGCGGCGGTGGGGCAGGCCAAGAACATGGGCGCCATCGTCCGGGCCTTCGACACCCGCGCCGCCGTCAAGGAGCAGGTCGAGAGCTTCGGGGCAGAGTTCCTCGAGGTCAACGTCAAGGTGGGTCATGGTCATAAGTGGGTCATGGTCATAAGTGGGTCATGGTCAGGAGCAGGTCGAGAGCTTCGGCGCCGAGTTCCTGGAGGTCAACGGCAAGGTGGGTNTTTTGGGTCCTTGTAGATTTTGGGTCCTTGGAGATTTTGGGTCCTCGTAGATTTTGGGTCCTTGTAGATTTTGGGTCCTTGGAGATTTTGGGTCCTCGTAGATTTTGGGTCCTTGTAGATTTTGGGTCCTTGTAGATTTTGGGTCCTCGTAGATTTTGGGTCCTTGTAGATTTTGGGTCCTTGGAGATTTTTGGTCCTTGGAGATTTTGGGTCATTGGAGATTTTGGGTCTTTGTTATGCTGTTGTTTCTTGTGCATCTGGGGAAGCTGTTCTGGTGTTGGGCTAGGGCCACCGGAAGTGGTGGGATGGGCTAAGGCAAGGAGAGAGGTCTGGAGGGCCATGGCCTCCACGGCACTATCTCCCAGTGAGTATACCCTGGGGTTTGTGGGGGAAGAAGGGACAGGCGAGGAAATGCTGGACCTTCTGCAGGGATCACCGCACTCGGGACAGGCGGCGCTGGGTGAACGCCCGTCCCTGGATGTATGGCACACAAGGGACTGCTGTAGGGAACGTAGCCTCTTCAGAGGCAATCAGAGGGCTCCGAAGATCTCTGATGGGCTCCAAAGATCTCTGCGATCTGAGTAACGCGGGTGGAGATCTCTTTGCGAAGGGATAACTGTGCCGCTCATTTGGAGGGGTGCAATAAGATGGCACAATCTCGTCATGAGGGAAGCTATCATAGGCCGGTCACCTGGGGGGGGGGGCTGAAGAAGACAAGGAACTAGGGCCATGGCTGGTCTAGGTGAGTGAACGAGGGAAAGACGCATGTCTCCGTGTTGAGATGGACGGAGTCTTTTTGAGACACCGGGCAGCTAAAATTAGGGGCCAAACTTTTTGAGACCTCCGGCGAGACCTCTTAAAATCACCGGCGAGACCTCTCATGTGAACTCTTTCTTGAGACCAGCGAGACATCTTTTTTAGACCTCCTTGTCAGTGTATTTTTTGAGACAGGGGAGACCTCTTTCTGAGACCTCTTTGTCAATGTTTGAGACCGGCGAGTTTTCTTTAAATCAGGGGCCAAATTTTGGGTGGTTTAAAGTCCTTTCCCTGCAGTGCTTGAGTCCATGGGATGCTACGGGGGACCATATATGGGCTGCAAAGTCGAAGATTGGGCGCGTGATGTATCCCCACCATGTAGGATGTGTAGGACTTGTATCCTTAAGGGCAGGTCTTAAAGTAAAGGGACTTGAGGTCGATCCTCCTTTGGAGGTCCTTGATGCAGGCCCCATGTGCCGATGTAGGACATGCTCATGAGGCCATGATGTAGGACATGCTCATGAGGCCATGATGTAGGACATGCTCATGAGGCCATGATGTAGGACATGCTCATGAGGCCATGATGTAGGACATGCTCATGAGGCCATGATGTAGGACATGCTCATGAGGCCATGATGTAGGACATGCTCATGAGGCCATGATGTAGGACATGCTCATGAGGCCATGATGTAGGACATGCTCATGAGGCCATCATCGTCCGCAGGTACGGCAACAACATCAGCAAGTTCCTGCTGTCCATCGGCGACAAGGACCATCTGCACGTCAACCTGGAGGACGAGGTCGTCCGCGGCAGCATCGTCACCCAGGTGGGTCAGGAGGGTTAGGTGGTCAGGTGGTGGGTTAGGTGGTCAGGTGGTGGGTTAGGTGGTCAGGTGGTGGTGGTTGTCGGAAGGTGGGTTTCCACCAAGTGTTGTGTTAGTTTCTGTGTGTTGGTGTATAGCAGCTGATGTATATTTGTATAGTCAGGGTAAAGTGTCCTTACGTGTTGACCAGCTGGGAGGTGGGGTGTGTTTTATAGCGTATTATATGGCGGGCAGAACGGCACGCTGCTGTACCCGCCACCGCCGCCCCCGACACCCGCCCCCGGGGCGGTGGCCGCCGCCGCCGCCCCCCAGAAGGTGGCGCCGCCCCCGCCAGACTACTTCGCCCTCACACTCAAGGACTCCCTCCTCTACACCTCAGGTGGGGACTTGATATATTCTATATTAACTTATATAACTTCTTGCAATAATTCTATACTATTAATTATAATATATTACTATATATTATAATTAATATTGAAATGAAGATGTTCATCGTTCATCCTCCCCCTCCTCCCACACAGGGCTGGGGACGCTGGTGGGGCTGGGGGTGGGGTCCCCTAACCCCGCCATGACCCAGATGATGACCACTCTCTCCCTCGCCACTCTTGTGGGCTACCACACCGTCTGGAGCGTCACGCCCGCCCTCCACTCGCCACTCATGAGCGTCACCAACGCCATCTCTGGTGAGTGGCACCAACGCCATCTCTGGTGAGTGGCACCAACGCCATCTCTGGTGAGTGGCACCAACGCCATCTCTGGTGAGTGGCACCAACGCCATCTCTGGTGAGTGGCACCAACGCCATCTCTGGTGAGTGGCACCAACGCCATCTCTGGTGAGTGGCACCAACGCCATCTCTGGTGAGTGGCACCAACGCCATCTCTGGTGAGTGGCACCAACGCCATCTCTGGTGAGTGGCACCAACGCCATCTCTGGTGAGTGGCACCAACGCCATCTCTGGTGAGTGGCACCAACGCCATCTCTGGTGAGTGGCACCAACGCCATCTCTGGTGAGTGGCACCAACGCCATCTCTGGTGAGTGGCACCAACGCCATCTCTGGTGAGTGGCACCAACGCCATCTCTGGTGAGTGGCACCAACGCCATCTCTGGTGAGTGGCACCAACGCCATCTCTGGTGAGTGGCACCAACGCCATCTCTGGTGAGTGGCACCAACGCCATCTCTGGTGAGTGGCACCAACGCCATCTCTGGTGAGTGGCACCAACGCCATCTCTGGTGAGTGGCACCAACGCCATCTCTGGTGAGTGGCACCAACGCCATCTCTGGTGAGTGGCACCAACGCCATCTCTGGTGAGTGGCAGCAACGCCATCTCTGGTGAGTGGCAGCAACGCCATCTCTGGTGAGTGGCAGTAGTGAGTGGCGCCTAAGCCATCTCTGCTTAGCCTAAGTGAGTGGCAGTAATAAATTAAAATATTTTTATGGAGTTGCAGATTTTACGTTCTACGATACTTATCGTCAGAGTTGATCTGATAAGCCTGGAGGTCCTCAGTAATCCAATGCACTCAATGTTGAAGAATGCAAGAGAAGAACTAACCAAGCATGTTGCAATGCAGGCATCATCTTCTTGCGGTATTTTCAGATATACACGATGTAAAATCGAGTGGTTGCAGATTTTACATTCTACATTACTTATGATCTGATTTAATCTTGTTATAGGTCTGGAGGCATCTTTGAGTCAATTAAATCCAATTAATGAAATAAAAAGAATGTAAGAGGAGAACTAACTAATAATGTTGCGATGCAGGCATCACGGCGGTGGGGGGGCTGCTGCTGATGGGGGGCGGCTACTACCCCACCAACATCATCGAGGGGCTCGCCGCGTCCGCCGCCTTCGTCTCCTTCATCAACATCTTCGGGGGCTTCATCGTCACCCAGCGCATGTTGGACATGTTCAGGAGGTGTGTCATGTGTGACGCATGTTGGACATGCATAATATTTGATTGCGTAAGTGCTCTGAATATTATTCCTTATGTTGAACATAATTATTATTATGTCATTTGTGTATGTATATGAACATATATAAGTGTAATCATTGTACTTATATCCCCAGTAAACAATTATCTCCTGCAGACCATCGGACCCTCCCGAGCACAACTACCTGTACGGCATCCCGGCGCTGGCGCTGCTGGGGGGCTACGGGGCCACCGCCGCTGCCGGCTACCCTGAGAGCCATCAGATGGCCTACCTGGCGGCCTCCCTCTGCTGCGTCGGGGCCTTGGCGGGCCTCAGCAACCAGAGGACCTGCAGGCTGGGCAACACGCTGGGCATGGTGGGTGGTGGGGCAACCAGAGGACCTGCTGGCTGGGCATGGTGGGTGGTGGGGCGACCAGACGACCTGCAGGCTGGGCATGGTGGGTGGTGGGGCGACCAGAGGACCTGCAGGCTGGGCATGGTGGGTGGTGGGGCAACCAGAGGACCTGCAGGCTGGGCATGGTGGGTGGTGGGGCAACCAGAGGACCTGCAGCCTGGGCATGGTGGGTGGTGGGGCAACCAGAGGACCTGCAG